CGAAGGTAGTCAGACAGCGGGGGTGCAACAACAAGGGAGGACGGAGGAGGCACGAGAAGGGGAGGACGAGACGCGTGGGAACGAAGCAACATAGGGTGGGAGCGCAAGACAGGCGAGGCAGGACGAGCACGAGAGGGACGGTGAGACCAGACGTGCGACGGAGGAGTCGGGTCAGGAGACAGGGGAGGGGAGACAGGAGGGGAACGAGGGGGAAGACGGGCCGGGGACGAGTCCGGCGAGGGAACACAGGGCCGTAGACGGGAAGAGGAGGAGACGGTCGGAGAGGGAACAGCCGCAGGGTCAGGGGACGGAAGGCCGAGCAGGCGAAGGCTGACACCGGCGGGGACTGCTGCTGCGGGCGGCACAACGCAAACACCTGGACCGCAAGCTGCTCCTCGGCTACCACCGACACAAACCACACCAGCACCCCCAGAGGGACCACCCCCAGGGCGATCGAGACGAGCACCCCCAGAGTCAGCGAACGGGTGCTGGGACGGCGGCGGCGGCGGCGGCAGCGACAACGACGGCTGCAGCGGCGGCAGAGGCGGTGGAGGAGGGGACTGGGGAGGGGACGCCGAGGGAGGGGCGGCCGGCGAGGACTGCGCAGCAGGGCCACCAGAGTCAGAAGACTCCTCAACCGGGTCTACCGACAGAAGGGGGGTGACGTGGGACACACCAGAGGGGGCAGGACGGGGAGGAGGAGGAGGAGGGGCAGGGACTACCGGGGAAGGAGTGACCAGGAACAGGGGGGGGTAACCAGGGGACCGCGGTGGGGGAAGCGACGGTAGTAGGAGACGAACTCGTCAAATGTGACGTCGCGAGAGTGAAAAGAAGCGGTGAGACGGCGGGTGGTAAAAGTGCCAGTCGGACGCGTCAAGGGGAAAACCAAGGAAGACGCAGGGAAGGGTGCGGGCAGTGAGCTTGTCGGTGCCGGAGGCACGGACATGAGCAAGGCAGCCCCAGACGTGGAACGCAGATGCGTCACCAGGAGACCCAGTCCAAAGACGGGTCGGCGAAACCTGCGGCTGCTGAGGGTGTGGCCACAAGTTAAGCTGGTGAGAAGCGTAGCGCACAGCGAACGGCCACAGAAAATGGGGTGCACCGGCATGGATCATGGAGGTGCGAGCCACCTCCATGACCAAACCGATGTGTCGCTCAGCGACCCCATTCTGCTGTGGGGAGTCCGGTAGGGTGAACGTCTGGGTGATGCCCTCCGCACGACAAAAGCGACCAAGGACACCTGAGGCACACTCGCCACCACGGTCTGAGTGAAGACGCAAGACAGGGAGACCGCGGTGGACATGCGCAGAGACAAGCCAGGGGATGAGAGCTCCAGGCACGTCGGCCTTGCGCTCCAGGGGAAAGGCTGTGGTGTAGCGTGTGAAGTCGTCGACAAGCACAAGGAAGTAGCGCTCTCGACGCGGCCCAGGGACGGGGGCGGGGCCCAAGACGTCGAGGTGCAGGGTCTGCAGCGGCGCGGCGGTAGGGGGAAACGAGGAAGAGTGAGGGGCACGGCAAAGCCGACCCTCGACACAAGGCGTGCAAGGTGGGGCTGGGGAGGAGGGAAACGCGGGGAGGGAACCTGGGAGACCAAGGACAAGACCGTGCTGGGACATGTGACGCAGACGCGGGAGCGCAGGGTGACCTAGGCGGTGGTGCCAAAGGAGAGTCGGGTGAGTGAGGGACCGACAGGAGCAGGCAGCAGCAACCTGGGTAGACGCAGCCACCTGAGGAGGCACCCCAGCCGGGGGGGTCACGGTGTCCAGAGTGAACAGGCCGGACACCGGGTCCCGGGGGAACGTGGACAAGGGGGCACCAGTGGCGGCCTCGGTACAGACAGCATACCGCTCGTGACCAGGGAACGTAGTGGTGACGCCAAGGTCCTGGAGGCAGCCGACACCAACTAGGTTCCTGGAGAACGAGGGGATATGCAGACCTGTGAGAGTGCCCGAAGGAACCGCCGGACAGGGAAGGGTGGTGGAACTGCGGGCGACTACCGGACCGCCGGAGGGGTCAGCAAGAGAAACGGCAGCTGGAACAGGAAGCGGCGTCAGGGTGGTGGAGTCGCGGAAGAAACACCGAGAAGCGCCAGAGTCCAAGGTGAAGGAAAGCGAAGCAGAGGCGTCTGGCGACGGAACGACGGCGGAAGCACCAAGACTACACGAAGCAGGAGATCCTACGCCTGACGGCGGGCGGCGCGGCGGCGGCGGCGGCGGCAGCGACAACGACGGCTGCAGCGGTGGCAGAGGCGGTGGAGGAGGGGACTGGGGAGGGGACGCCGGGGGAGGGGCGGCCGGCGAGGACTGCGCAGCAGGGCCACCAGAGTCAGAAGACTCCTCAACCGGGTCTACCGACAGAAGGGGGGTGACGTGGGACACACCAGAGGGGGCAGGACGGGGAGGAGGAGGAGGAGGGGCAGGGACTACCGGGGAAGGAGTGACCAGGAACAGGGGGGGGGTAACCGGGGGACTGCGGTGGGGGAAGCGACGGTAGTAGGAGACGAACTCGTCAAATGTGACGTCGCGAGAGTGAAAGAAGTGGTGAGACGGCGGGTGGTAAAAGTGCCAGTCGGACGCGTCAAGGGGAAAACCGAGGAAGACGCAGGGAAGGGTGCGGGCAGTGAGCTTGTCCGTCCCGGAGGCACGGACATGAGCAAGGCAGCCCCAGACGTGGAACGCAGACGCGTCACCAGGAGACCCAGTCCAAAGACGGGTCGGCGAAACCTGCGGCTGCTGAGGGTGCGGCCACAAGTTAAGCTGGTGAGAAGCGTAGCGCACAGCGAACGGCCACAGAAAATGGGGTGCACCGGCATGGATCATGGAGGTGCGAGCCACCTCCATGACCAAACCGATGCGTCGCTCAGCGACCCCATTCTGCTGTGGGGAGTCCGGTAGGGTGAACGTCTGGGTGATGCCCTCCGCACGACAAAAGCGACCAAGGACACCTGAGGCAAACTCGCCACCACGGTCGGAGTGAAGACGCAAGACAGGGAGACCGCGGTGGACATGCGCAGAGACAAGCCAGGGGATGAGAGCGCCAGGCACGTCAGCCTTGCGCTCCAGGGGAAAGACTGTGGTGTAACGAGTGAAGTCGTCGACAAGCACAAGGAAGTAGCGCTCTCGACGCGGCCCAGGGACGGGGGCGGGGCCCCAGACGTCCAGGTGCAGGGTCTGCAGCGGCGCGGCGGTAGGGGGAAACGAGGAGGAGTGAGGGGCACGGCGAAGTCGACCCTCGACACAAGGCGTGCAAGGTGGGGCTGGGGAGGAGGGAAACGCGGGGAGAGAACCTGGGAGACCAAGGACAAGACCGTGCTGGGACATGTGACGCAGACGCGGGAGCGCAGGGTGACCTAGGCGGTGGTGCCAAAGGAGAGTCGGGTGAGTGAGGGACCGACAGGAGCAGGCAGCAGCAACCTGGGTGAGCGCTCCAGCCGGGGAGGTCACGGTGTCCAGAGTGAACCGGCCGGACACCGGGTCCCGGGGGAACGTGGACAGGGGGGCACCAGTGGCGGCCTCGGTACAGACAGCATACCGCTCGTGACCAGGGAACGTAGTGGTGACGCCAAGGTCCTGGAGGCAGCCGACACCAACTAAGTTCCTGGAGAACGAGGGGATATGCAGACCTGTAAGAGTGCCCGAAGGAACCGCCGGACAGGGAAGGGTGGTGGAACTGCGGGCGACTACCGGACCGCCGGAGGGGTCAGCAAGAGAAACGGCAGCAGGAACAGGAAGCGGCGTCAGGGTGGTGAAGTCGCGGAAGAAAGACCAGGAAGCGCCAGAGTCCAAGGTGAAGGAAAGCGAAGCAGAGGCGTCTGGCGACGGAACGACGGCGGAAGCACCAAGTCTACACAAAGCAGGGGATCCTACGCCTGACGCAGCAGGGGAGGCTAAGCTAGGCACACCTACACTAGGCAATAGTGAGTAATATGCGGGAAGCACACTAGAGTCATCAGCATACATCACATGCAGAGCAGAAACAATGGCATCCATGTCCATGTAAAAAATCTGAATCTTACGACTAAGCAAACTGTGCCAGTCCGGAAGGTCTGGCGACGGGCGGAAGCGCTGACGAAAGAGGTCGTCCAGGCGACGAAAACAGCGGGGAGTGGAGTGACCGAGCTTACCGCAAACGAAGCCGCGGCGAGGACCGGTCTGGATCTGGTACTGACAACGCACGCCTCCAGAGCCACCACTCGGCACACCACCACGCGCCTGGCCACCACCAGCGCCGGGCCACCCGGGCGGGAGGACACTCGTCTGCCGCGTCTGCGACGGCTGCTGCGGCTGCTGCGAAGGCTGCGACTGCGGCGGCTGTTGCGGCTACTGCAACTGCAGGGGCGACAGCTCAGCGGGACTGGGCAGGGTCCCCTCGTCCGCTCCAGCACCAGACGACCCGACTCCACCACCACCCCCTCCCGCACCCCTGCCTCCTCCGCCGCGCCCAAGTTTGGGGCGGCGGCCCTTCCCCGAACGAAATTGCATTGCAGCAGCGGTCTCAGCCACTGCGGCAGAGCCGTCGGAGAAGGTACACTGAGCAGGGGCACAACCCTGAAAGATAGGGAGCGGCACGGTACCGTTCGCCTGGGCGATGGAGCGGTGGCGGGTCTCAATCACAGTCAGGGTGTCTACAAAGTCAGTGAGGGTGAGGTCTGCGGGGTGAATGCTAAGGAAGTGGTCACGGGCGACAGCAAGGCGGTCAGGGAGGCGGGTGGCAAGCACGTAAAGGGTAGAGGTAATGGGCAGCTGGTGGGCTCTAAGCTGTGCGTCAGTGCAGGCAGTGCGCCAGGTCTCATCTATCGAGCACAGGTGGGCAGCAAGGTCAGAGACAGTGGGGAAAGATGCAAGGTCAAGAAAGAGCATCGGGAGGATCAGGCGACCCACCGAGGCAGCCGGAGGGGTGGAATAGCGCTTGATGACAGCATCTAAGTAAGCCACGTCATACCGCCAGGTCGCGTGGCTACGCGGGCTAAACGGCATCGGCCTCGCTCTGGTCTTCCCTCCTATCCAATCACTCATTGCTGACCTGGCGTCTCCGACCAATCGCGGCGTGGCATTCGGATGGTTACAATTCATGACTTATTTTGGAGACATTCTGGGGTACAGCATCGGAATTACCCTGGCTGGGATACCTGCCCGAACAATAACCATCCTCTTTGGGTTTGGGATGGATGGATGGCGGATGGCATTTCTTGTCGTAGCAGCAATCAGCCTGCTGCTAGCAGCTTTTATCTCCCTCTTTGCACAAGACCCTCCAAGACAATTTCTTATCGAAGACCTCTCTAACGAGGATGCTCGGCGGAGATGTCTAGATGTTGTTGTATATTTGTTGTCTAGATGTCTAGGATATTCTACAACTGCTTTACTTTCCCATTTTCTATATATTTTTGTATGCTTGTTTCTTTCAATCAATCACTTGTTCTCATCTACCAATATAAGGGTTCAACTACTCAACTTCCGCTGCACTACTCAAGTCTCATTCTTCAACTGGGTTTTAGTCTCTGGAAAGATCCTAAGGGCTTTTCTCAGCCCATCATGGTATGAGAGCTGGTCAGAGACCAAACTCCCAGCAACTATATATCAAATTAGAGAAGTGAATGATGATAGAGTGAGAGTACACACAGATATACCTAAGTTTTGTACCCTCTAAGAGGTGACCCTATACAGTCTATACAAACATGACAAATACACATGTTTGACACACCCCCTAGACTGCATAGGGGAATATCCTAAACAAGCAGCTCAGGGCGGCACTACTAGTCCAACCTCTGAGACAAGGGTCTGAGAGACCAGTCAGAAGGAGTACAGACAAGGCAAGAACAAGAGCAGGGTAGCACTACTAGTCCAGCCACTGGAAGAGGACACAAGTCCAGTCTGAGTATACGTATAAAGGACAGTACAAAGTCAAGGTCCTAGCAAGTGAGAGGCTACAGGAACTAGACCAAGCTATACACAGTGCCGCTGATGATCTTTAGGCGCAAGCGCCTTCGTAAAGATATCAGCCGTGTTGGCACCTGAGGCCAAGTGTACTACGCGAGCCTGACGTCGCTGCTGTAGCTCACGCAGGAGGAAGTACCGCAGCTGAATGTGCTTTGCTCTGCCCTCGAGTCGAGGCTCCTAACACAGGAGGATCATGGCCCTGTTGTCAGCGAACAGGACCGGGGCAGAGCTAGGCCGCTTACCTAAGTCAGTGAGCAAGAAGGTCAGCCAGCGGAGCTCCTGTGCCGCCATGGCACCAGCGTAGATCTCAGCCTCACAGCTGGACTGCGCAACAGACGAGGAGCGGGTAGCTCTCCACGAGACGGCACCTGAGCCAAGGCTGAAGCAGTAGCCCTGGGTAGACCTGAGTGTCTCAGCGTCGTCTGCCCACGAAGCGTCTGTGTGTCCAGTAAGGACCACTGGCCTGCGTCCTCCTAGCACTAACCCCATGCCCGACGTACTAGCAAGATAACGCAGAACCCTCTTAGCGGCAGACCAGTGCTGCGGTCGGTGTCTGCCTGTGGCCACAAAACGAGCCAGGATGCTGAGAGGGTATGCGAGATCTGGGCGAGTGCAAGTCATCAGGTACATGAGGCAACCCACCAGCTCTGCGTAGGGGCCGCTGGGCTCTACCAACTCCTCAGACACTGGAGCGGAGAGCCTGTGGTCTATAGGCAGAGGGGTGGGCTGTGCAGAGGAGAACTGAAGGCTGAACCTCTGAAGTACCTGGCGCACCAAGTGTGACTGAGTCAGGGTGATGGTGCGCGCAGCTCTGTCCCTGGAGATCTGCAAGCCAAGGTAACGGCGCAGTTCTCCAAGGTCAGTGCAAGTGTGTCTCTTCAGCAGCTCTGCCTTCACGGAGGCCAGTGCGTCCCTGTCTGCTGTGGCAAAGACCAGGTCGTCGACGTAAACAAGGATGTAGAACGGAGTCTGGCCAGCACGAACGAAGAGTGAGGGGTCTGCGGAAGACGGAAAGAACTGCAGGTCAGCAAGCGTAGCACGGAGAGTGTCGTGCCACTCACGGGGAGCCTGGCGCAGGCCGTAGACGGGGCGCCGCAGGAGCCACTGGGTCCCAGGAGGGAAGGTGCCAGTAAAGCCCTGAGGACAACGCAAGTAGACCTGCTCGTGTAGGCTGCCCTGAAGGAAGGAAGTGGAGAAGTCGAGGGAGTGGAGCTCGTAGTCACGCTGAGCAGCTAGGTGTAACAGAACCCGAAGAGTAGTCATCTTCGGGGTCGGAGCGAAGGTCTGGAAGAAGTCCACCCCCTCACGCTGACTGAAGCCTCTAGCCACATAGCGCGCCTTGAAGACAGGCGGCTCTCCAGGAGGGCGCTTCACCTTGAAGAGCCAGCGGCCATCGACGTTCACCCCAGGTGGGGGAACTGCGTCGACGAAGGTGCCGGTGGATCTCCAAGATGCCATCTCCTGCTCCATGGCAGCTATCCACTGCGAGGCCCAGGGTCCCGAAGTCGCCTCAGCGTAAGTGCGAGGGGTCGGGATGTCGAAAGCGTCTGGGTCACCCTCAGGGACTAGCAGCATGGAACAGAGATGGGGAGCAGCCTCGGACAGGAAAGCAAGCTCGAACTGGCGGTCCTCCAGGACGTCACTGCCAAGGGCAGGAGCACCCCCGACAGACGGAGGATAGGCAGGGTCAGAGACCAGAGCTGTGGCGTAGTCAAGGCGGCGGATAGAGGCTAAGTCAGCGACCGCAGCTACAAGAGCGTCAAGGCACGAGATCGGAACAGACGGGTCGGTAACGAGAGAGGCAAGGACCCGAGAAACAAGAGGACGAGCGGCACGAAGGTAGTCAGACAGCGGGGGGGGTGCAACAACAAGGGAGGACGGAGGAGGCGACGGCAGAAGGGGAGGACGAGACGCGTGGGAACGAAGCAACATAGGGTGGGAGCGCAAGACAGACGAGGCAGGACGAGCACGGGAGGGACGGTGAGACCAGACGTGCGACGGAGGAGTCGGGTCAGGAGACAGGGGAGGGGAGACAGGAGGGGAACAAGGGGGAAGACGGGCCGGGGACGAGTCCGGCGGAGGGAAGACAGGGCCGTAGACGGGAAGAGGAGGAGACGGTCGGAGAGGAACAGCCGCAGGGTCAAGGGACGGAAGGCCGAGCAGGCGAAGGGCTGACACCGGCGGGGACTGCTGCTGCGGCGGCACAACGACGACACCTGGACCGCAAGCTGCTCCTCGGCTACCACCGACACACTCCACACCAGCACCCCCAGAGGGACCAACCCCAGGGCGACCGGGACGAGCACCCCCAGAGTCAGCGAACGGGTGCTGGGACGGCGGCGGCGGCGTCGGCGGCAGCGACAACGACGGCTGCAGCGGCGGCAGAGGCGGTGGAGGAGGGGACTGGGGAGGGGACGCCGAGGGAGGGGCGGCCGGCGAGGACTGCGCAGCAGGGCCACCAGAGTCAGAAGACTCCTCAACCGGGTCTACCGACAGAAGGGGGGTGACGTGGGACACACCAGAGGGGGCAGGACGGGGAGGAGGAGGAGGAGGGGCAGGGACTACCGGGGAAGGAGTGACCAGGAACAGGGGGGGGTAACCAGGGGACCGCGGTGGGGGAAGCGACGGTAGTAGGAGACGAACTCGTCAAATGTGACGTCGCGAGAGTGAAAGAAGCGGTGAGACGGCGGGTGGTAAAAGTGCCAGTCGGACGCGTCAAGGGGAAAACCAAGGAAGACGCAGGGAAGGGTGCGGGCAGTGAGCTTGTCGGTGCCGGAGGCACGGACATGAGCAAGGCAGCCCCAGACGTGGAACGCAGATGCGTCACCAGGAGACCCAGTCCAAAGACGGGTCGGCGAAACCTGCGGCTGCTGAGGGTGTGGCCACAAGTTAAGCTGGTGAGAAGCGTAGCGCACAGCGAACGGCCACAGAAAATGGGGTGCACCGGCATGGATCATGGAGGTGCGAGCCACCTCCATGACCAAACCGATGCGTCGCTCAGCGACCCCATTCTGCTGTGGGGAGTCCGGTAGGGTGAACGTCTGGGTGATGCCCTCCGCACGACAAAAGCGACCAAGGACACCTGAGGCACACTCGCCACCACGGTCTGAGTGAAGACGCAAGACAGGGAGACCGCGGTGGACATGCGCAGAGACAAGCCAGGGGATGAGAGCTCCAGGCACGTTGGCCTTGCGCTCCAGGGGAAAGGCTGTGGTGTAGCGTGTGAAGTCGTCGACAAGCACAAGGAAGTAGCGCTCTCGACGCGGCCCAGGGACGGGGGCGGGGCCCAAGACGTCCAGGTGCAGGGTCTGCAGCGGCGCGGCGGTAGGGGGAAACGAGGAGGAGTGAGGGGCACGGCAAAGCCGACCCTCGACACAAGGCGTGCAAGGTGGGGCTGGGGAGGAGGGAAACGCGGGGAGGGAACCTGGGAGACCAAGGACAAGACCGTGCTGGGACATGTGACGCAGACGCGGGAGCGCAGGGTGACCTAGGCGGTGGTGCCAAAGGAGAGTCGGGTGAGTGAGGGACCGACAGGAGCAGGCAGCAGCAACCTGGGTAGACGCAGCCACCTGAGGAGGCACCACAGCCGGGGGGGTCACGGTGTCCAGAGTGAACAGGCCGGACACCGGGTCCCGGGGGAACGTGGACAAGGGGGCACCAGTGGCGGCCTCGGTACAGACAGCATACCGCTCGTGACCAGGGAACGTAGTGGTGACGCCAAGGTCCTGGAGGCAGCCGACACCAACTAGGTTCCTGGAGAACGAGGGGATATGCAGACCTGTGAGAGTGCCCGAAGGAACCGCCGGACAGGGAAGGGTGGTGGAACTGCGGGCGACTACCGGACCGCCGGAGGGGTCAGCAAGAGAAACGGCAGCTGGAACAGGAAGCGGCGTCAGGGTGGTGGAGTCGCGGAAGAAACACCGAGAAGCGCCAGAGTCCAAGGTGAAGGAAAGCGAAGCAGAGGCGTCTGGCGACGGAACGACGGCGGAAGCACCAAGACTACACGAAGCAGGAGATCCTACGCCTGACGGCGGCGGCGGCGGCGGCGGCGGCGGCAGCGACAACGACGGCTGCAGCGGTGGCAGAGGCGGTGGAGGAGGGGACTGGGGAGGGGACGCCGGGGGAGGGGCGGCCGGCGAGGACTGCGCAGCAGGGCCACCAGAGTCAGAAGACTCCTCAACCGGGTCTACCGACAGAAGGGGGGTGACGTGGGACACACCAGATGGGGCAGGACAGGGAGGAGGAGGAGGAGGGGCAGGGACTACCGGGGAAGGAGTGACCAGGAACAGGGGGGGGGTAACCGGGGGACTGCGGTGGGGGAAGCGACGGTAGTAGGAGACGAACTCGTCAAATGTGACGTCGCGAGAGTGAAAG